ATTTTTCTTCTGCCTGCTCAAATCTGCCTTTGAATTCCTTGAGTGAGTTTTCATTTTGGTTATTGTATTTTCCAGTTCCAGATTTTTTCAAATTTCTTTTTAGTATTTTTTCTTTATTGATATTTTCATTTTGTTCATACACCATTTTCTTGACTTTGTCCATGTCTTTTAGTTCTTTGAACGTCTTTAAGAACTGTTGGTTTATATTTTTTCCTTTGAATGGGTCATACATTCTTTTTTTTGTATTTCTTGTGATTTTTTTCCTTGAAAATTGCATATCTGAATCTGATAATGTGATGACTCTGGAAATTAGATTCTCCTTCTTCTCTAGGGCTTTTGTTTTTTTGTTATTGTTTTGTTTTTCTGATTGGTTTATAAGCTGTCAGGGATCAGCCTGAGGTGTAAACTTGGGGTCTTCTCAGATATTTTCTGAACCTGAGCCTTCCCCTGGGCATATGCAGTGACTTTCTAATTCTCACCATACATGTGGTTACTTTTTTAACATCCTAATATTCAGTCTGACTCCCAAAAGGAGGAAAAAAGAGAAACATGAATTGAGATTGGAGCAGGGAGGAGGATAGACTCAACCCTTTAAAATCCCCTGAAAGAGTCACATCAGCCAGAGGAGGAGAGGCTTGCCACAGTGGGGAGAGGTACAGTCACCTCTTTGTCTGTGATCAAGGCATTCATCAGCAGTTAAAGCACAGATCTTTGATATTTGGAGGGCAGGATCTATTTTGCCTACCCTGACTCATGCAAGCTGTGTGTCAGTTGCTCCACAACTGCACAGTTAACTGAGGGATGAGGTGATGGTTAGCTGCTACTTCTTAAAGCAGAAAATAACTGAAATTAACCACAATTTACTGTCCAAGCCTTCACCTGCTACTTCTTAAAGTAGCTGCTACTTTAAGACTCAACCCTTTAAAATCTTAAAGTAGCTACTACTTCTTAAAGCAGAAAATAACTGAAATTAACCACAATTTACTGTCCAAGCCTTCACCTGGAAGTTGTTAGCCTTCAGCAGACTCCAGAGCTCCAAAATATTTACATCAGACAGATTCTGCCACAGAAATTATTATCTAGATGGAGAGAGAGATTTGTGGTGCTCCCTCCTCTGCCATCTTCCCAGAATTCATTCCATTTGTTTTTACAATCACTTTAACCTACTGTGATCACTTCAGTCATAGCATTTAACTTTTAATGTAGTGTCTCCCAAATTAGAGTTCAAGATGTAGTCTCTGGGGGGTTGTGAGTTCTGTATTTGAAAAGCACTTGTATATAATTTAGTAGGGAGGAAAGACATTAAACAGATAACAATGAAACTTTGATAAATGCTGAGAAGAAGAAATACAATGCACATTTAAAAAAATCATTTTCTGAACTGTTAACGTTGGACTCTTTTTAAATAAGTGGATCTTATAGTTATTTTAACACAATTTTAAAAAATGTAATATTGCCCTCTGAAATTTTGTAAGGATGCGTCCGTCTGTTATAGCAGCAATCACTACAAGATCATTTGTTAAGAAATAAAGAGTTAGGTGAGCAAAATTAGGTTTCTTAACTTTTATTGATACTTGAGCCAGATTTTTTAGGGGCTTGTTAGTTCCTCCTTTTGAAATATCCTTGCCCCCTTTTGCTACCCCTGCTCTTTTCTCTAAGTGAATTGTAAGACTTTATTATTGTACAAGTTGAAATATATACAATGGTATATATGTTAGTAAATAATAGAGTAAACATTTATATAGGTTCCTATGATTTACAATATATTTTCCTTTATATTACTTCTCTAGGGCCTCACACAATCCTCTTGTAATGGCTGTCGTTTTACGGATGGGGAAATGAATTTCAATTATAGTTGTTATTTACCTATACTCAAATGTCACTGAGTGATAGAATTAGGTAAAGAGACCTAGAACCAGGTCTTGAGATACAGTGTCACTTGAGCCAAGAAACAGGGAACTGCTTTTCTTCATTTGAAATAAATTTCACATAGATTCTTAACTTGTCTTTTTTGTTGTTATTGTTGCTGTTTGATTTCCTCCTAAGGAAGGTTGATAATTCTGTGTTAACCTGTTCTACCCATTGTCCTGTTCAAGGATCCCAAGGTCTTTAATTGGCCAGATTAGCTACAGTTTTTTATTTTCATTCCCTTTACTTCAGCTACCCAGAAGTACATATTTTCCATGGCCAAATTTTCTACATCTGTTTCTTCTGAAGTAACCTGTTCTTTAGTTATCTTCCTAAAATAAACTTTGGGTTTGTTGCTGGGATATTGTGTCTTTCTGACTTATATATCATACCCTCCAAACCCATTCAAATTGTACCACCCCATTCACTTTCATTCCCACCTCCACCAAATTGGAGAACTGAAGGAATTGTCAGATACCATTTCTATTTTTGTAATATGAGAACTTAGAAAATCTCATGTTAATAGGTAAGCGTATATTTATTCCAAGATAAATTTTTAAAATTCTGCACCTAATAGTATAATCACTCTTAGATATTTTTATCATTATTTTAGGTGGCCAAACTTGAGACAATCTTATCATTATGCTTCTAGAACTTTATTTCTTTCTATGGGATCTTATTTTGGATCATCTTTTGTCCTCCTCAACTTGCTAGACTCTCTAATCATCCTGACATCTGGTTTTATTTAACTCGTAATTAATACTTAATGTGAATATTCATGGTTTTTGTCTAATTTGAAGTCCTTTTATTCCTGTGGTTTCCCTTTGGGTATGATCATTCATTTAGTTGAACTCTGAGATACAGCTACAAATAAACTTATTGTACATGTGTTACTTATCTAACGTTCTTCATGTCAGAATGACAAATTATTTTTACTTGTCTGTGTATAATATTTACTCTGAAATGAACTTTAGACATAAACATCAGTTTTGTGGTGTGAATACTAATTATCTTAATCGTGACTGTAGCCCATAATATTTAGCTATTAACCTCTTATAAACTGAGTATTTGACTCAATATAATTTCTTTGCTTTTTATTATGCAAAATTTCAAAAATACTCAAATATACAAAGAATAGCACAGCGAATTCCATTTATACCCACCCACAGCAATCATCACCTCATGTGCACTTTTTTTTTTTAGTTGGAATGTCACTCTGCCACCCAGGCTGGAGTACAATGGCATGCTCACAGCCACCACAGCCTTGACCTGCTTGGCTCAGGAGATCCTTTTGCCTCATCCTTCCAAGTAGCTGGAACTACAGGCATGCGCCACCACACCCGGCTAATTTTTTTATTTACTGTAGAGATGAAGTCTTGCCAAGTTGCCCAAGCTGGTCTCAAACCATGGGCTCAGGCAATCCTTTCACCTCGACCTCACAAAGTATTGGGATTATAGGCATGAACCACTGCACCTAGCCCTCATGTGCACTCTTATTTGATTCATAGCCTTTCCCACTCCCAACTTTCTATTGTTTTATTTTGAAATAAATATAACACCTTATATCATTTTGTTTGTATATATTTCAATATTAGCAAGACTTTTTAAATGATTAGAATGAAAAACGCAACTTCTATATAGTGATGAGTTGGTTCTGATAAGCAACTAACATTGTAATAATAATGGTATAAATTAGACTCAACAGGCTTTCTTGCCATAGTATTTGAAAAATGTAACTTCTATTGTAGCTTTCTTTCCCTCCTCCTCTGTAATTGCTTTTAAGCAGAATACAGTTAAGTTGTATCATTAATTTTTTTAGTGAAGTGAAATAATTTGAGTAATCTGAGTATGCCATTGGAAAATGAATAATTTCAAGTATTCATAAAATCTCAAATGTCTGAGTTGAGTATCTTTGCTTAAATAGCAATCCTTACAAGTAGAAATTTTGTTTATTAGTTTGGTTTTCACTGTATTATTCAAAAATAGACTACTATATTCGGTGGTAGGACTAAGCATAAATTACTGTAGTTAATTTTATGTTTATTTTAACCATGAACCTGTGTTATCTTTAAGCATTTTATCATAAAATAATCCAGATCTAGTACTTTGCTGAAATTAATATACCATTTGAACTTTGAATATTTACTTTCATAAAAAGCCTATTCATTTGAAAGAAAATGGTTATTTGTGTTATAATGTTTTCTCATATAGCTTTTATGTATAATTCTTTAGTTAATTGGAATAGAACTATTAATGTTTGTAAACATATCTCCAAAAGTTTGTTTAGAGGAGAACCATCTTTTTTATTCTTTGAAAATGTTTGACTTGGTACTTTCATAATCTTAAATACACAGATGGAATAATTTCGAAGGGAATTATGTTAATTTTCTGTTGTTTTTCATTGGGCATTAATTGCATTTTATTCTTTAGTTTCATCTACATAGTAATAACTTCTAACTTAACCAGAAAGCCAAAATTTTCTCCATCCAAACTTAATTAAATGTACATTATTCTGCTTGTTTGTCTTGCTGTAATAAATCACTGTTACTCTGTGAGAGGTTCTAGAATAACAGTGGAGAGAAATAGTTGGAGCTGAAAATAATCAGGGACTTTTATATGAAGAGTATATTTCTGTTTCCTAAAAGTTGGCGATTAATTTCTTTTTTTTTTTTTCATATCAAACACAGTTTAGTGTGGGGAACAGTTTTTTTCTGGGTGATAATATTATTGGAATCTTTATGGGATCTCTGGGAATAAAAAAACCTAATGATTTGTAAACAACCTGGGAAGAGTTGTCTGTTATACTAAAGAATATTCATGAATTTTATGAGAAAATTATGGTGAACTTCTTTTCAAATCTTAAGAAAATCATAGCTGTTTTAGCAGAAATAGCAATTTATTTCTCAATAGCAAATGTAACAACCACTTATACCTAATTTTTTCCATTTGGTCCTGGAAACTAGAGACATTGTTTATCATATAAAATTATGATTTAAGAAATAGCAAATATTTTATATGCTTCTAACATTTATAAGCATGTAATTTTTAAATTTTCTTGTTAAGCTAACAAATTTGCAATTATTTCTTTAAAGGCCAATCCTCCGCCAGTACTGGTCAACACAGATAGCTTGGAAACACCAACTTATGTAAGTTCCATTTTCTTCCTACATTTAAATAATTCTGACTTTTCTTTTCAGTTTTTGATACAGATACGAAGATCACAGCATTATTTTCTCTAATAGTTTTGATATTCTGGCTGGGCTTGTGGCTCAGCCTGTAATCCCAGCACTTTGGGAGGCTGAGGCAAGTTGACTGCCTGAGCCCACAGGTTTGATACCAGCCCAGGCAACTTGGTGAGAGTTTGTCCCTATAATAAATAAAAAAAATTAGCTGGGCATGTTAACACACGCCTGTAGTTCCGTCAACTTGGAAGGCTGAGTTAGAAGGATCGCCAGAGCCCAACAGGTAGATGCTGGGTGGCTATGAGTGTATCACTGTACTCTAGCCTGGGCGATGGAGTGAGATGCCAACTCAAAAAAAAAGAAAAGAAAAGAAAAAGAAAATATTCTACCACTATAGTTTTGCTTTTTTTTCTTATTTACATAAAGCAGAAATTTTGAGATAGAAATTTATAGTTTTATTTTGAAATTATGATGATTTATTTTCACTAAAGGCTATCTCTGGTCAGTGGTCACTTACACAATGCCATATATTCAATAGTTATTTTAGAAGTCTAATTGAATGACTAGATGTTTTGTTGTACTTTTAAATTAATTAGTGCTTCTTTGTGAACTTACTTTGTTAAAAAGTTCTCTTTCCCTTAAAGACTAAAAGTCAGAACAGCAAAATCTGATGTAACATTTTTCACCCCAAAGGAAAATATCTTTGGAGATGTAGAACTGCTTATGCATTAAATAGAAATAATACCCATTTTTTAATCAAATGGTACATAATTTTATACACTGTAAAATTCTTTTCAAACTATAATAGATTTTCAATCAGTACTTTAAAACATTTTATTTGGCTTTATATACTGTTTGTATTAATATGAATATGAGTGTATCAAATATGTGGTAACTTTTTTAAAACTTCAAGACTTAATATCAAACCAAAAAGCTGTTCTGTGCTTTTTTTCAGATTCTTCATGATGTGGAATACTTAATAAGCAGAATTTTGTTTATACTTTTGTTAATGTTTTTTGTTATTAATATTTTCTTCACATACTTTTCTCTTTTGTCCTCTTTGTCGAGATATGTTTTGTATAGGGGCATAGTCAGTGTATATGTTTTTATTTAACCCATTTCATCCTAAAGGGTAATACATAAGAACTAACAGAAAATACACTGTCAACAAAGAAAATAAATGTACGTGCATTTTGTGCGAAATGTCAACAAATTGAAAGCAAGATTAGTATGCCAAGCAACAAATAAAATTTGTATAATTTCTGGCCAGCATGGTGGCTCACACATGTAATCCCAGCACTTTGGAAGGCCAAGGTGAGAGGATCACTTGCGCCCAGGAGTTTGAGACCAGCCTGTGCAACATAGTGAGACCCCACCTCTACTAAAAAAAAAAAAAGTTGTATAATTTGAAATTTGTATGATACATTATTGAAAACATATTTTTCTTGGGGGTCTCCAAGACCACTCCAGTGATTGGAGATGTACTAGAAGGACTCACAAGACTGAACATACAGTTTAAGCAAGTGAGGATCTGTAGTCAGAACATAAGGCTGTGTGTCTAGAGAATTCCATGTATTAGACTTCCTAATACATTTTTCCTACCATAGCACTTCCTGCAACAATGAAAATGCAACCACATGTATGCTATGTTTCTTCCCAGAAAAACCCAGAATGGAGTCAACACCCAAGTGTTTTGTTGTCAGTTGATCACACAGACATCTTCTGTCTAACACATGCCAAATTTTCCCAAAAGGAAAGCGGATGTTGATCATAAAATGTATTGCCTCTAACAAAATTTTGGCACAGTAGTTAGGAAATGGTTTTAACACTCTCAAAATCCAAGTTCCCAGATACCAGCTAAGATCTAACCTTGCAAGCAGGACTTTTTAGAGATAGCAACCTCAGGCCTGATATGTTAACCCTTTTCTATACATAAGAAAGTAAGTTAAATTCCATTTTCCCAAGATTTGACAAAGGGTAGAACTTTATCATACTTAATAGAATACTGTATGAATTGTTTGAGTTGTATCTTAGTTCATTTAGTTTCACTGTAAAGGAATATCTGAGGCTGAGTAATTTATAAAGAAAAAGGTTTAGTTGGGTCAAAAATCTTCTGGCTAGAAGATTGGGTCTCTGATAAAAGCCTCAGGCTGCTTCCACTCGTGGCAGAAGGTGAAGGGGAGCCAATGTGTGCAGAGATGACATGGTGAGAGAAGAAGTAAGAGAGGTGGAAGGTGGGGGCAGGGGGAGGTGTCAGGCTCCTTTTCACAACTCCCTGTCCTGGGAACTTACTTTTTGCCAAGCCATTCCTGAGGCATCCACCCCCCAACCCAAACACCTCACATTAAACCCCGTCTCCAACATTGGGGATCAAATTTCAACTTGAGGCTTGGGGCCAAACATTCAAACTATAGCAGGTAGTAACAACTATTCTCTATGGCGCTAGCGCATATAAGCAAAAAGTGTGTTGTGTTTGGGTAAAACAACTTTAGGCTTTTAGGAGACTGGAGAATTTCTTTTTTTTTTGAGTTGGAGTCTCACTCTGTCGCCCAGACTGGAGTGCCATGGCCGCTCCCGGCCACCGCAGCCTTGACCTGCTGGGCTCTGGCTATCCTTCTGCCTCAGCCTTCCAAGTAGCCGGAATTACAGGCATGCGCTACCACACCTGGCTGATTTTTTGTTTTATTGTATAGATGAGGTCTCGCTTCCCAGGCGGATCTCGAACCCGCGGGCTCAGGCAATCCCCTCACCTCAGCCTCCCAAAGGCGTGGGATTACAGGCTGAGCCACCAAGCCCGGCTAAAGAATTTCATTCTGAAATTTAAAATACATTCCAGAATGGTTTTTAAACTTATTTATCATCCCTTTGTTAATTCCCAGATCTCTTAAAAAGAAGAAAGATTTACTTTTCACCGGATCTCTTTTTGTATCTTTTGAATTTTATACAATATATATGCATTACCTTTTCAATTAATTACTTAATTTTGGGAAGTGTGATGACTGCAGACAAAAAATGTGCTGTAAGGTAGCAGCTACAATTTTTCTTATTTTTACTCATCAATAAATACATAGCAATCTTCCGGTTTCTTTTACCTAAAGCTTTCAGTAGACATTATGCATATGCAGGCATATCTAAGTGTTGGTTTCAAACTTTTACCATTTTAAAATCCTAGTGATAATTTTTGTAGATACTCTCTTGTGTATATACAAGTATCAGCATCCCACAGTATCCATTGGGGATTAGTTCCAGGAGCCCCATGGATACCAAAATTCACAGATGCTTAAGGCTTAAGACCCTTGTGTAAAATAATGTAGTATTTGCATATAATAACTTATGTACATCCTTTCATATACTTTAAATCATCTCTAGATTACTTGTAATATCTGCTATAATGTAAATGCTATATAAATAGTTGTTATAGCTGGGCTCGGTGGCTCAGCCTGTAATCCTGCGCCTTGGGAGGCTGAGGTGAGGGGATTGCCTGAGCCCGCGGGTTCGAGACCCGCCTGGACAACTTGGCAAGATCTCATCTCTACAATAAATCAAAAATCAGCCGGGCGTGGTAGCGCGTGCCTGTAGTTCCATCTACTTAGAAGGCTGAGGCGGAAGGATCGCCGGAGCCCAGCAGGTTGAGCCCAGCAGGTTGAGCCCCGGGAGCGGCCACTGCACTCCAGTCTGGGCGACAGAGTGAGACTCCAGCTAAAAAAAAAAAAAAAATAGTTGTTATACTGTATTTTTTAATTGCTGAAGTGTTATTTTTATTGGGTTTTTTTTCATGAGTATTTTCCATCAGCAATTTCTTGATTCCACAGATGTAAAACCAACAGCTAGAGGACCCAACTGTATATAACCAGAATATATTCATATAAATAGAATTGCTTAGAAAGTGTGTTAATTTTTAGATTTGATCATTATTGCCAATTTACATTTTATAAAGTTTTACCCATTTATACTTCAACAAAAATGTATTAGCATATTTTACCCATACTGTCACCAGCACAATGTATTAATAAACTTTTTGACCTTTTGCTAACATAATGTTAAAATATTTTAATTTAGAACTCATTGTTTTAATTTGCATTTATATTATTACTCAAATTTTCCTGCCTTTTCACCTTAAAAAAGGTTTATGTTGAGATAGTCACATAGCACAGTATCCACTCTTTTAAAGTATACAATTCAGTGGTTTTGAGTTAATTCACAACATTGTGCCATCATCACCACTTTCTAATTCCAGAACATTTTCTTCACCCCATAAAGAAACTGTATCCATTAGGAATCACTCCCCATTTTGCCCTTCTTCCAGAACCTGGCAACCACTTACCTACTTTCACTAACTATGGATTTGTCTATTTTGGACCTTCCATATAAATAGAATTATATAGTTTATAGACTTTGTGTCTGGCCTCTTTCATTTAGCATAATGTTTTCAAGGTTCATGTTTTCAAGGTTCATGTATCAGTAATTCATTCCTTTTCGTTGCCAAGTAATATTCTATTGTGTGGATATACTACATTTTGTGTACCTACTCATCAGTTGATGTACATTTTGAGTCGTGTTCGCTTTGTAGCTGCTAGGAATAATGCTGATATGACTGTCATTACAAGTTTTATGTGGGCATATGTTTTCATTTTTCTTGGGTGTATACCTAGGAATGCAAGGGCTGGATCACATGACTAAATTATGTTTAACCTGTCAAGGAACCCCCAGACTGTCTCCCAAGGTTACTGTACCATTTTACATTCCCACCAGCAATGTAAGAGATTTCCGATTCCTCCCTGTCCATCCTCACCAATTTTGTTATTCCTCACCAACAATGTTTTTGATTATAACTATCCTAGTGGGTATGAAGTAATATCTCATTGTGGCTTTGATTTGCATTTCCCTAATAACTAATGAAGCTGAACATCTTCTCATGTGCTTATTGGCCATTTGTATATCTTCTTTGAAGAAAAGTCTGTTTA